TGGCTAGAACCAAAAACTTCAACATTTTTATCTAAAAACGCGGACGGCTGGACGTACGGACATTCCACCCAGACGGAATTGTGGGGTGATAGCATTGTGTTCCTTTTATCCCTTTTTCTAAAGATCCTCTTCTGGGGTGATGTTTTCTATTGTTAAAATAGTGGGGTGATGTGTTCTGAAAGGAACATCACCCCACAAGTATGGTACGGTCAGAGCGACGATTGTTTGCCTAACCAGGGTTGTTAACTCTTTCAGTGCCAACGAAATTGAAAAGTTTAACCCTAAAGTGCCCAACTTCGAGCATTCTTTGTAATTGTTTAAAATTCTGTAAAAAAAAAAGTAAATAAGTTTTACTCACTAAATTTGTTGTTGTTGCTCTCTGGTATATTCTTGGTACATTGGAAAGTCAATCACGTACACAGTGCTACACCCTGAAACACTGTCACTGCACACAGGGGAATTCCGCACTTTTTGCAGAAAATACGAGTGTCAGTGCTGCGCCCTCTCGCAAGAACTCGAATAAAACAAATAAATACAGGTCGTACCTGAATGAAAATGATATTACATGTAAGAAAGAGTTAGAGCGCCCGCTTGTGATAACATGCTTACTCTACCTCGTACCAGTACATGTACGAGGTTCGGTGATTTTAAGTACGAACATTACCTCATACATGTACGAGGTTGGCACTTTGAACTAACAAATATACCTCGTACATGTACGACTTTGGCACTGAAAGAGTTAATAAAAATATTGTGTACTACAGTTGGTGACAGTTGTTGAAACAAGAATTGTGTCATTTTCTTTGTTTACTTACCTGTAGAGCGAATACTACATATGCATAGACTCGCACCGAGTAAGGCGGTGGGTATACGCAAATTACCGTATGTCTACAGGGGTGTAGGACATGAGGCGTGTCCAAAGGCAAACAACACCAAACCAAAAAACCTACACCCCAGACGCTCCAGGTTTCACCTCGTAAGGGGAACCCAAAGAGCTCGTGCGCAAAAAGTCAGGGGGGTGTAACCATTATGGGGATGAACCCATGATAGGTACACCTAATTAAACTTAATGCCCATACAAATATATATGTATATTTATATGCTCACCCGTTAGTGCTTCCGTGAGGCTCGACTGGCCGCCAGCAGCACTTCTCTTCCAGCCTTGCCATCTACCTGGAGGACATCCTTCAGGTAGCATTCGGAGAACGTGTTAGGGTTCTTCCAGCAGGCTGCCTTGACGATGTCACCTAGGGGGACACCTTTAAAAAAGGCCCACGAGGTGGACACTCCCCTGACCTCATGCGCTCGAATGGGTCCCTGGGTCGCTGGCCAGCCGCCCGGTACGGAACGGATAGCTGTCACGATCCAGCGAGTGATTGTATCGCGGGACGCCGGCCCATGGGGCGGGGTCGTCGCGATGAATAATTTGTTGTGTCCCGTACGAAGTGACTTCGTACGGTTGACATACCACTTAAGTGCTCGAACTGGCACCAAAGTTGTCATTTGTCTCGTTCGAAAAAGACTTGATGTCCGGGACAAAAATGTCCGGGGGTGTAAAGGTCTGCGACTGGTTCTCTGCGAGAAAACCGGCCGTAGGGATCAGGCGGACACCCCCCGGTTCCCACCGGATGTGTCCTGTCTGCATCGATAACGAGTGTAGTTCACTACGTCGTCGGGACGTAGCGACAGCCAATAGAAAAGCTACTTTGATGGAGAGTTGTAACAAAGTTGAGCAATTCATTGGTTCAAAGGGAGTCTTCGCCAGTGTAGATAATACACTGAAGAGGTCCCAAGATGGGATTAATGTGCGTACTGGGGGACGAGTATTAAACATCCCCTTGATCAGTGGGGTAATTGCAGGGTTGCCGGAAACGGAGGAACCGTCCGAAAATCCCTGATGGATCACGGCAACGGTCGATCGATAATTTTTGACCGTGGCCGTCGTGAGCCCACTGTTAAAAAGGTATAGGAGGAAATCCCCCACTTCCCCTACAGAAGTATTGGGGGGATGAATGGATTGCTGTCTACACCATTTAAGAAATGGCGTAGTCGGCTATCGTACACCTTTCTGGTTGAGGCTCTACGGGACTGAGCTGCAATTGTTGCAGCTCGTCGCGAAAGGCCTGTTGAGCAGAGGGATCGCGTGACAATACCCAGCACGTCAGGTGAAGATCCCCCGGAGCCTGGTGACTGATTCCCGAGCTGGGCTGATAAAGGAGATCGGCTCTCCTCGGTAGAATTACCAGGCGGTGAACCAAGAGTCGGCCGAGCCGGGGAAAACCACGGCTGGCGGGGCCAGAACAGGCTATGAGGAGAATTCGGCAATCCTCCTGCTCGATCTTGGTCAGCACTCGAGAAACGAGGGAGATGGGTGGGAAGGCGTAGGCCAGTAGGCCGTCCCACCGCACCGACAGTGCATCGGTCTGCCACGCGTTGGGATCTGGGTCCCTCGCGCAGTAGATCGGTAGCTGATTTTCATTTGCGACGCGAATAGGTCCACATGCGGCCGGTCGATTAGTCGGAAGATCGACTGAGCCACCTGTGGGAGCAGTGACCACTCTGTCGGGGCGATCCAGCCTCCAGAGAGAGCGTCGGCTGTGACGTTCTCTTCCCCCGGGATGTGTACTGCCGACAGTGCTATCCCGTGATGTATGTACCAGAGGGTGAGATCCCACGTTAGTGCACACAGATGGCCTGACCGAGTGCCACCCTGGTGATTGATGTATGCCACCACTGTGGCGTTGTCGCATCGTACCAGGACTGCTTGCCCTCTGACGTCCGACTGGAAATGTTTTAGTGCGTTGGTGACTGCCAGCATTTCCAGGACGTTGATGTGGGATGATTGATGTGCGGGGCCCCACACGCCCGCGACCTGTCGCGGGTGGAGGGTAGCCCCCCAGCCGTACCCCGACGCGTCGGTTGTGATAAGTACTGACGGGCGGGGCGGGCGGAAAACGCGGCCCTGCATTATATTGGCCTCGACTAGCCACCAACGAAGGTGGGGGACTAGCCAAGACGTAGTGGGCACCGGATGGTCGATCGGGTGCCAGCGGGGTCTGTAGAAAGACAGCAGGTGAAGGTGAATTGGCCTCATCCTCAGCCTGCAAAAATCCACTAAGTCCACCAGACTGGCCATAAGGCCCAACAGCCTGAGCCAGGCTCGGGCCGGAGCCACTACCGTCGGGAGGAAGAGGGACACGCACTGCCGAAGGTTCAGCAGGCGGTCCTCCGATGGACAGGCCAATCCCCTGCGAAGATCGAGGGATGCACCTAGAAAGGTGGGAACCCGAGAGGGGACTGGGTGGGATTTCTTGGTGTTGATGAGAAATCTCAGGTCGGTAGCAAGGTGCCACGTTAGTTGGAGCGCCGCTTCCGTCTCCCCTCGAGAACGACCCACTACATGTACTAGCCAATCGTCGAGGTACATGAATATCATGATCCCTCGTCGCCACAGTGCCGCCCCGATCGTCTTCACGATCCAGGTGAACACCTGCGGAGAAGTGGGTAGCCCGAATGGGAGCACCACAAATTCGTACAGTATATCTTTGTATTGGAAACGTAGGAATTTGCGGTGCTCCGGCCTGATCGGTACGTGAAAATACGCATCTTTCAAGTCTATACTGGCCGCCCACGCGGGCGTGATGATCGATTCGAGAATGGTCCGTAACGTTTCCATGCGGAAACGTTTCGGACGTATGAACTTGTTGAGGGGTTTTAAGTTCAATATTGGACGCCACACGCCGGTCTCCATCTTGGGGCCAAGAAGAAGGTTGACATGAAACCTGCCCTGGTCCCCCCTTGGGGGACAACACGAACTGCTCTCTTTAGAAGGAGGGCGTCGATCTCCTCCTCGAGGGAGCGGCGTTTTGCTGTGTCGGGCAGTATGGGCGTTGTCCGAATAAGCATGTCCGATGGGGGGGGGGGGGTCCTCGTAAACTCGAGTGCGTAACTGCTGCTGTTCGTTTCGAGGACCCACCGGTCGGAAGTCACCTGCACCCAGGACCCCACGAACGGGAGGCCGTTCGGAGACGCATAAGTCACTTGCGCCACGCCCCGGTGTACCGGGTAGTGGGCGCCCGGAAACCGCGTCCCGACTGGGGACGCCGTTGTCCGGTATGTGGTTGTGAATAACGCGGGCCCACCGTCTTATCGGCGCGCCCACGAAATCCACCACGGGCCGCCCTGACCGGGCGGCGTCAGGGAATGACAAAAGAAGGTTGTTTCTTTGTCTTGTCCGCAGTTTTCAACTCGGCCGGTTTCTTGAGATTAATTCTCTCAGTGGCCTTGAGGCGCTTTGCTTCGGCCTCCATGGCCTCCTGGAACTTACCAGAAAATAAGTCCGGGCCTGAAAGCGGAAGTTCGTCGAGACGCTTACGTGCTCCCGGTGACGGGAGGAAAAGCGCATCTAGCACATTGGCGTGGCGTGACGATGTTGCTAAGGTCGACACTCTAGCAAACTGGTCGAGAGTGGAGCACAGGCCACGATTGAGGCAATGGAGAGCAGCCACCATCATGTCGGCTGGTATCACCGAATCTTCTTCATATCCCAGTGCCAGGTACTCTGATAGGAGAAGAAGAAAGGACGTCGCACGCATACCCATGCGTGCCGCCGAGTCCATTCTACGGGTGACATCCTCCAGTTTTCCACGGGTCTTGTCCGTAAAAAGGAACTTTGGATGAAGCTGTCCCTCGGTCAGCGGCGAGTTTGTCAATGGCCGAGTCCGGCAGGACTGGAGTTGAGAAATATTTCTCGAAATCCCCTGGGGGAAAATGATAATACGAGTCTACGCGCTTAGCATAGGCACTCCATGTCTTTGCGTGCATTATCCCATCGATGTGGTCAACGCACACGCGGTCCAGGGGCATTGTGGGAAACGCCCGGACCGGTTCTGCCGTCGGTCCCGATCTCTTCTTGAATGACTGACGTTCAGGAGGAGGAGGAGGTTCGGTCCCAGCAGGAAGATTCAGAACTCTGATCATATCCCGTTGGCCCTTTTAAATTTTTTTTTTTTTTTCCGGGTCAGCTCGCTCTCGTCCGCCGAGTTGTCAGAGTACGGGGGCGAGTTGTCACCGGGGAATGGGAACCAGGCCCCGGGGGCGAAGCAGCGCCGTCACGGTATCGAGCCCCGCTCGGACTCTAGTGACACCGATGGGTGTAAACTAATACCGGGCGGTGACGCCGGTGCACGGCTCTCCGTGCACGGCATTGTCCGCTGGTCTGTAGTCACCCCACCACGGCCGTGATGACTGGCGGGTGGGGGCTGTAATTCTGGAGGGGACTCTGGCGCACGGCTAACCGTGTGCGGTATGTCGCTTTGGCCCGGAGTCATCCAGCTGTGAACGTAGTCTCCCTGTCGGCCCGACAATGAGGCCGCGAGGGAGTGAAAAGCCTCCAAAAAATCATCGCGTGAAATCGGGTCGCTACCCTTGTGGCGTTTCCCACGGTGTGATTGATCGGATGACTCACTAGAACTCGTCGAAGAACGTCGAGAACGGCGGTTCTTTTTCGATTTTTGAAGAACGACTCCGAGTAGTTGCCGAGGATTGCGGGGACACGGGGATGCCCGAACAACGAATAAAATCCGATGTAGAGGCATGGCCCTCCGAGCGTAGCGTTAACGCTCTAGGGGAATCCCAGGGATTCGGCTCTACGCTATCAATAGCCCGGGCGGCCGACAGCGCCCCCACGCCGGTAACATAGGCGGGTGCTGTACGGTCGATTAACCGGCCATATAACAGCCCATCCCCAGGCATCGTGGTAATCACGGGGCTGGGTGGGCCTGGGTGCACTGAGCCATGGAGGAGTACTTCCTCCGGCTGCGTGTGCCCCGTAGATTAACGGTCGATTAACCGGCCATATAACAGCCCATCCCCAGGCATCGTGGTAATCACGGGGCTGGGTGGGCCTGGGTGCACTGAGCCATGGAGGAGTACTTCCTCCGGCTGCGTGTGCCCCGTAGACGGGCCAGGGACAGGCACGGTGCGCCCCGTAGCGGGGCCACCTTTTGCCGTACGTCCCTTTATGGGTACTGCCCCGGCGTCAGACAATTTCCTTGTCTTGCCGGTGCGTTTCCCCTTCAGTTGGGCGGACCCGTGAATATTGACCGAAGACGGTGGGGTTGTACGGCCCCCCGCTTGGTCAACGGGTCCGTCAGCTCCGACAGCCGGCAGTGGCTGAAGGGGCCGACTAGGGGACTGATGCCGCGGTGACGTACCATCACCGGTGCAGTCCCCCGAGAACTCGGGCTTGTCTGGTGGGATGTACGTCCCTCCATTATCGACACACCCAGTCCTCCCCAACTTCCTAGATTTACTCATTTCTTACTTCACTTTCACTCAAATACTTCACTAGAACAACTCTACAATAAACACTTTCTCTTTATTTCTTCGAAATAGCTTTCTCCAAGCAAAAGAGGTACCAATAAAATAGTGAAATTCAGGTCGATTGAAATTCCACGTTATACCTCGCCTGCGGCTAAGAGAAAAAGAGGACGCTAACGTAGTGCGCATGTCACAGGGCGTCGTGGGTAGGACACGTGAGGGCGCTATTGTATGTAAAACTCTTAGCGAATTGCCTGCCGGCATAGGGAACAATGCATATGTAGTATTCGCTCTACAGGTAAGTAGAGTGATGTAGACCTTAGAATTTAACTTCACTGGCAATGTTTCATGAATACAAACTAGGCTTAGTAAACAACTACATGCCTTTTTAGTAGCCAACTAGGCTTAGTAAGGTTTCATGAATATCGCCCCTGGTATCTACTCGTCTCTCCCACTTTTTGGAATGATCAAGTTTGTTGTCATCCAACCAGTTTGCTTATCGCAAGAATCTTGGTACAATAGATGCTCTCCTCACAATCTCTCACAAATTACTGTCAGCTCATGATCATGGTCATGAGGCAAGGGTTGTCCAACTGGACCTGTCGGCTGCCTTTGATCGAGTCAATCATGACGGTTTATTTTGGAAGTTACAGAGTGTTTGGGTAGGTGGATCGTTGCTCTCAGTCTTGACTCAATTTCTGAGGGGACTAACTCACCGGGTATGTGTCTATGGCAGCTTCAGTGACTGGTACAATGTCCATTCAGGCGTTCCTCAAGGAAGTGTTCTTGGAAATTTGTTGTTCAACATTTACACAATCGACCTGTTTAAGATCACCATGAATTCACTGTACCGCTACGCTGACAATGTAACTCTGATTGCGATAGTTGATTCACCTCAGTGATGTCGTGCCGTCTGCGAATCGTTAAATGATGATCTTTGTAGCATATGTAGATGGTACGACAAGTGGAACATTAAGTTGAACACATTAAAGTAGAGTACCTAGCTTGTGCATCTCCTGATCTCGCAGCCTCCATCCACCGCATGACAATCTACTCCTTGACGGTTCAATTCTCAGTTGTTGCGATGAATTTGAAAGTTTCAAGTTTGATCCGAAATTAACCTTCGGACGTCATATTTGATCGCAAACTTGGAATAATGAGGAAGGCCTATGAAATATTCAATGATGTCTCCATCTGTGCTTGCTGTTTCCGCTGCTTTGTCCTTCCACTTCTTGAGTATTGTGCTCTATTTTAGTCATCTGCTGCTGCATCTCTTATCCATCTCATTGACAGGGTACTCCATACGATTTCTTTGTGACGGCAATGCTCTGTGTGATCTGGGTCATTGACGCAATGTCAGTAATGTATGTATGCTGAACAAGATACAATCCAATCGGCTTCATCCACCATACGATTGTCCCCGAGCTGTGTGTGCCGGCAAGAAATACTTGGCTTGCATCTTCTCTGCATACGCTTACTCTGCAGCCAATGAGATGTCGTATCAGCCAGTTAGAGGATTATTTCTTTGCCCAGTGCCGTACAGCTAGGGAATTCCTTAGATGGTGATACATGTGCAGCAGGCAGTGTGCATACTTTTAATTCAATGGCCAACAGGAATCTAAGGTCCATTTAATTATTTCTAGTGTTGCTCGCTATTGTCCAGTTTTTAGTCTATCTCACATGTTCTTGTTATCTGGTTCTTTATTTTGATTGTTGATCAATCTTCTTTGAGTGGTCGGGCACAACCCGACCACTGTCTGGAATTGTTCTCATAAATCTTCTTTCTTTCTCTTTTTATTCCGGACAATACTTCTCCGTGGGTTTTCTCCTAAACGGTTCATGATTAAACTTGTAACTTTCAATATATATCGACCCTCATCCCAAGTGGTGCATATTACTCTGACGTCATGATGACGTCATCGGGTGTCAAATTACAAGTGATTTTAGCTGAAAAAGGGTCAAATTACTTTCACCCATAACTCTTGAACAAAATAATCAGTGATGTTTATATTCTGTAATTGATGAACATTTCTCATTGTGTACGTGAACTCACTTGACGCCTTCTTCCGGGTCAACCGGAAGGTTAAAGTTAGGTGAATTCAAAATGAAGACTTTAGCCTGAAATCAAAACAAAGCAAAATTTCTTCCACACAGTTTATGGTATGATCATAAAACCTAGTGTGAAATTGTACCACGTTACGAAGATACTATATATTTTGTTACGTCAACATGACGTCATCATGTATCAAATTACAAGTGATTTAAGGGCAAATTTTGATGAAATAGTTTGCGCTATATCTTTTGAACTAAATATAGTATCGTGTTTGTTTTTTCGTGAGGTAGTAGACTATGCTGTGAGAAACAATTCTTGTCCCCGGACACAAAACCGCTTGACCTTCACTTCCGGTGTTACTGGAAGTGCAATAACAACCGAGTATAACTCAAAAGGGGAAGCATTTTACTACACACATATATTTTGAAAGTGTTTATTGAGGAATGCCAGACACAAAACAGTGTGATGACGACATCTTTCGAAAGGGCGCCCCCTAGCGGCATATTAAATAGTGTTTGCTTTCTTTAATTTGAAAACCATCTGTTAAAATTTCACAAAACCGCCCCTTGATATTCTTTGATTAACCACAGATAATTTGGCAAGGTTTCAAATTCATGACGTCATGAGACCGGAAGTTACTTCTATGAGAATTTGAAAACGATAATATTTTTAATTTAATTATATCATTTGATTCATGTCGTATATCTTCGTAGCCAAAATAACGATATCCCTTACAATGTTTACCTTTTGCTTCCAAATACTGTGCGTCATCAAACCGGAGTTAGGTGTTATGAATGCATACAGTTATATTTTCCATATTTTCATACGTTATTTTACTTCACAACGAACATTTATCCACTCCGAACTAAACAGTATTCACTTCCCGTTTTTGAATAATGACGCCATTAAGCCAGAAATAACTTGTATGTGTACATAGAATATTTCCTAAAATTTATCACACCGTTAAAGATGTATTGTTTTAATCAAAATAATTGATTGTACTGGAAAGGATTTAATTTTGTGATCCTTGTTCTAACATGAATATATTTATAACTCAACTTCGGCAGTGTTTAATGAACAAATTGCCTACCCGACCACTCTGCGTTTGTAACAACAAACGCGAACCTCTAGTTCTTTCTTTCTATTTTTCAAGACAATATTCTCTGCGGGTTTTCTCCTAAACTGTATATGGTATGAACTTGTAACTTTCAACATATATCGACCCTCATCCCCAGTGGTGCATGTTACTCTGACGTCATGATGACTTCATCGGATGTCAAATTACAAGCGATTTTGGTTGAAAAAATTACCAACGTCTTGCACTTATTACTTTTAAACAAAATAATCAATCATGTTCATTCGTTGTAATCATACAGACCATTAATTGATAAACTTTTTGTTGTCTACCTGACTGGCTTGACCTTTACCTCTGGGTCAACCGGAAGGTCAAAGTTAGAAGAATTTTAAATACAGACAGAAGCTTCAAAATTAAAACGAACCGAATTTCTTCCTAACGATTTATGGGATTATGATAAAATCTAGTATGAACTTGAACCCCGTCTGAAGATGTTAAAAAAAAACCTGACATCATTATGACATCATCAGGTATCAAATAACAAGCAATTTAAGAGCCAGATTTGAAAAAATCTGTTATTTGTTATTTTTTCATATCAACTACATAAAACTTTGCGAGGTTACAAAATTATGACGTTGTCAGACCAGAAGTTACCGTTGGGAGAATTTCAAAAAAGATAATTTTTTATTTAATTCTATCATTTGATCCCTGTCTTATGGTCTTATGGTCTTAAACACTTTTCCAGTGTCAAATGAAATTTTGACTCCTATAAAATCCTGTGCCTTTTACAGTTTCATTGGTTGAACGTTCACAATCCTCACTTGAGCATGCTGCGTTCTGTGTCACATTGCCCAGTACGCGTGATGCACACACAAATCTACATATAAGGAGTTATTTACGTCTTCTGGTGAGGACATAATATAATATAGAAGGAGGGGCATTTAAAAAAAAACATGAAGTAAAACTGTTGAACAAAATCGTTGTGAATTTATAAGTTTTGACTTGTTTTGACTTTTGGACTGAAAAGTTTTAAATTTTTGACCGAAAAGGTGTTCATTCGGCTCAGGTAATTATCAGCATCCAGACTCCAACCGGTCTTAAACATTGTGTTTAAAATCGGCCATAGGACCTTTCCCTCAGTTAAATATGATAATTTTATGGTGGAAGTTTTGATTATTTTAATTGTGCAAATATACATGCTGTACTAAATTAGTGTTTGCGAACAATTCAGTTCGGTTTGGTTCGCCTTGGAAGTCCTTTGTTCGGTTCGGTTTAAAAAACGCCAATCCTGTCCTTAATAAAATTGGCACCAAATGTGCTATGATCAGGAGCGTAATATGTGACCGACCAGGTAAATTTTTTTTTAACCTTTTGGCCAGCTAGAGCTAGAGGGTAAAAGGGTCACAAACATTTAAAATATATATGAATAACTTACTCAAGGGCCCTTTCTTAGTTGCTTTTGACTTTGCCTCTTCCAATTTTTTCTTTTCTTCCTTCTGCTTTTGCTTCAGGGCCAAGTCATCCTAATGAGAGGGAATAATCAAATACATGTAACCAGTAGCATCCAATCTGTTATTGTAACCAGAAACAGGTGTCTCATGTACATATAATTAAAAATATGTGAAGACCTAGACAATAGCCCTAGCCAAGACACGTAGCCTAAAATTGCAGGTCACTTGCTGATTTCCAATGTACATTTGTTCACAAGGGGGTAATAATCCGGGGGGGGGGGGGGGGGAGGGTTATATATATATCCCCCCCCCCCCCCCAACTGAATAGTGGAGAAACAAAGTACAAAAGCTTTAAAAATGTAAGAGCGAGTTTTTTGATATTGATATACATGTTTATTCTGAAGAGCGCTCCCCGTAAATGTGGTGTCCAACCCCCCCCGCCCCACGCCGCTGTTTGTTCAGCCTATGAAAGCATAATACTTATACATATACATGTAACATTGTAAACATACAAGACAGTTATGTTATGCTGAGCAGAGCCACATGCCTACATGTGACATGCCTAGTGAGGGAAACATCAGTGGCACAATTCAGTGGGGACACCCCCCCCCCCCTCCAATTGAACCACTTCAATGAATAGACTCTCTAATTAGCAAGAATGATTTTTTTAACAAGGTGTTTTGTGTTTAAATTTGTAAATAACCAACTTCCTTAATCTTTACACAACATTTCCACTGAACCTATTTTTATCATTACTAATTGATTAAGCTATGCTAAGTCACTATTAAGCAGTCTGTGATCCATGTTGTTTACTGTATTTCTATGATATCATATATTATGATTCCTTCTTAAACTCCTATTTTATTTTAATTGGGCAGATTCACCACAAGCACTTGGCTTTTATGATGATGCCTCCACACCTGTTATAATGTACAACTTGGAAACAAATTGGACTTGGGAGCTAAAATCTGTTGTGATACATGTACACAGAAGTGACTTTCACCCAGTCTATTAAAAACTTCTTGGTTGACACAGAATATTTGTACTCAACTTTTTCGCAACAGCTCTCATTGGTTTTGTACACGTTTTTTAATCGAGACCGTCCTTGATTACGTTCCTGTCCTCGATTCACTGATGATGTTGCACGTGTGTGTCCTCGATTTACACCATAAACAAATGCACACACCCAAGTGTGTATTTGCCTGCAATCGGGGACCCTTATTGTCCCTCTTTGGTTTGTACTCTTAACGTTTAAGGAAGACCTCCCATATGTTTTGTACACATTGCCAAATTGGGGACCCTTTGGGAATTGGGGACCCCATTGTCCTCTATCATGTCTATTGTTCAACGTCCCCTACTGAATGCAGAAACAAACCCACACACATCCATCTTTGTAAACACCGGCAATTGTGGACCCCCCCCATTGTCCATAATCCTCATTCCTTTGTTTGTACTTTTTAGCACACATCCATCTTTGCAAACACCGGCAATTGTGGACCCCCCTCCCATTGTCCGTAATCCTCATTCCTTTGTTTGTACTTTTTAGCAAGTACTGGTACTTAACTTTTTTACTCATTGCTTTTGTACACGATCGTGGACTATCGGTCAATTCGTGGACATATTGTTTGTGCCCTAACCCTCTTGTCCTTGGTCCACGATTACCAGTGTCTACACACTCACATGTTTACGTTACATACCCAGACCTGCCAACCTTTGGGATCAAAAAACTTTATTGTGAATCTCCAAAGGTTGTATTTTTCATAAAAAAAATTATTTTTCAAAAATATGCATATACCGTACAAGCTATGCAAACAGATAAATGTGGCTACAATGCTGCAACTTTAATGCATCTTTATTACGTTATAGACAAAAACATGACCAGAAGTCTCCCTGCAGGTGGTAAACCCAATCAAACAGTTTGCATGAATAAGGATATTGATCATATACCTTATTCATAAACAAACTGCTTTAAAAACTATTAATAGCAGGTCTTCTTAAACTAAAGACTAGAGTAAACCCTAATATTTGAAATAAATAAAATTATTATGCAGGTGATAATCTAAACTTATTCATGTTTTATCGCATGTCGCTGCCAAGACAAGTGCCAGTTTCAATCATAATCACATGCATGGCCGTACTGAATGTAAAAAAAAATACACAGTGACCAATTTTTATTTTACAAAAACACATCAAAAAGAACTTGGCCTACCTTAAAAAGAAAACGATTTCTTGCATGTGCTGGCTGATTAAATCGCTCTATGCGCAGCATTGTTTTTATTCCAATTTTTATTATCATTTCAGAACGCTTTATAAAGTTACTAAAACATGCTCAACATGCTCAACGAAACAACGCGTGCACGTGTGTTGTGACTAACGAACATTAACATCGAAGCGTATTCTGTATCGCGTTCACTTAGAAAAAGAAAGTCGGTTGATCGCGACTGCATGTACGATCTGATGTACGTACTCCTGCTGGTAAGTTGTTTATGAATGCAGACATTAAATTTTGCGGCGGGGGTGCCACTGCTTGAAGTATCGGACCACTCCAGAACTGGACTGGTTCTAGTTTGTGATACTGTGTACATCATTTACATCATACCTTCAGTGAGAATCGCAAAACCAGATTCAGTTCGTGCAGTACATCGTTTACTTGGCTTCGTGCATGTGTACGTTGATTCAGCCGATTTTATCTAGCATAATCTACACTCACAGCCGCTTTGAACTAGGATTTTTTTCCAGCCATGCCAAAATGGTCGAAACCCGTATTTTATGGGGGCAAAATGTACGGTCGTATTTTCAACAAATTCCCGTATGAAATATGGCAGAGTCGTACTAGTTGGCAGGTCTGCATACCTAGTGTTGACTTTTTTTTCTTTTCATGTAATTAAGAAAAACCTGTGAAAAAAACTCTTTTACTCAAACTGTGAAAACCCTTTTCGACCCATATTTGTTTCTATAATTCCTTGTGTGTTTCTCTTCATTTTGTGACGGATAAACCTAACCCCAAATTGCCTCTAAACCTGTTTTCCAGAGAGGGGGAAACCTTGTGTGGACGTGGGCAAGTCCACACAATGTATCTTGAAACTGGTTATGTGGACATCTTTTGTTCCGAAGTCCACATAGTGAATGTAGTGCTTGTCCACACCGATACACAGAAGGAATACGCAATATCCCCTGTCTGGCTTGAAAGCCAGAGGGATAAAAATACTGCAAGTGAGACTTGCGCAATCCCCCTGGCATGCTGGCAGTTTTTATGTCAGTTAGTACGGACACTTGTCAGTGTCCCTAACCAAAATGGAAGATTTCTATTGTTTTAGCAATAGTGACCTCGACCTTTGACTTGTCGGCCCCAAAGGCAATAGGCTTGATAAGACTACCAAGAGCAACCCACAAACCATATTTAGAGTTGTTTCTAAGTAAAGTATTTCTCAAGCTTCAGTGCTGACAATGTTTCTATTGTTTTAACAATAGTGACCTTGGCCTTTGACCAGTCGGCCCAAAAAGCAAGAGGCTTCTTAAGACTACCAAGGACAACCCACAAACCAAATTTGAAGTTCCTAAGAAAAGTATTTCTCAAGTTATTGTTCTGACAAGAGTTAACCTAACTAAAACACCCACACACATACAAGTGTTTATTTGCCTACAATAGGGGACCCCCTATTGTCCCTCTTCTGTTTGTACTCTAACTTTTTAGGAAGACATCCCATATGTTTGTACACATGGGAATTGGGGACCCTATTGTCCTCTTTTGTTCAACGTCCCCTACTGAATGCAGAAACAAACTCACACACACCCATCTTTGTAAACACCGGCAATCGTGGACTCTTCATTGTCCGTAATCCTCATTCCTTTGTTTTGTACTACTAACTTTTTAGCAACAGCTGTGACTGGTTTTGTACACGAATTTCAATCGTGGACGTTCGGTCAATCGTGGACGTATTGTTTGTGCCATAACCCTTTTGTCCTAGGTCCATGATTGCCGGTATTTACACACTCAGACATCCACACAAAAGCTATCGCAATGTCCCCCTCCGGCTTACAGCTAGGGGAATAAAAAGACAAAATGGAAACAGCTTTTTACTTCATCAAGTTCCTTGTGCTCTTTCTTGGCTTGCTTCAAAGGTTTCTTCTTTCCTCCTGCAATAAATCAACAAAAACACAAAGAGTTACAGACATTATTTGTGCTTTTATATTAGTTGGCTGTAAATCGATTTGTACAGTCTTTGTTGAGTTCAGTTCCTGCCAACAGAATACTCTTTATAAAATTGTGGAAGGTTTAATGTAATATGTGAACAGCACTTTGCTTTTTTAAAATTCATATTGAGGACTGAAAGGTCTGGGCAACATGAGTTTAAAAATAAATTGCAAATGATTTTCCATTTCCCAAGCTTATTGTTTAACAATTTAAATATCCAGTTACATTTAAGTGCTATATTATGAGATTGGAAGTCAAGTTAAGACCACCTTTGTTTAAATTGCAAACCTTTGTTTTTCTTGAAATTTTGTCTGTGTTGCCATTCCAGATAAACGGAAACACTAAGTTATCTATTTTCAAAACATACTTTTGTAGGGTTGGAATAACAGATGCTAAAAAAGTAAATATTGGTATTGCCTGACTATTTACAAACGTTACTCTTCCTGGTAATGTCAGATGTCTTCTTTTCCATTGATTAATTAAATTCGCACAATTTATCACCTTTTCTTCCCACATCAATTCATAACATTCATTCATATTATTTCCAAAATAAATGCCTAATGTTTTAATTGGTCCTCGCTGCCAATTTATAATTTCTAAAAGGTTTGGTCCAGATCAATGTTACCAATAATTAGTCCTTTTATTTTTGGAGGTTAGATTTTGGTTCTGCAATACTTCCAAAATTTGTCACAATATTGATGGCATTTGTAATTGATGCAAAATCAGATAAAAAAAGAGTTGTATCATCTGCGTACATTGAAATACGTAAATCTGTTTTAGGTAAATCTGCCTATTGCCTAGTAAGATAGGCCTCATTTTTCTACATTCTTTTTCTTTTTTGAATAGCGGATAGTTAAGTCACTGATTTTTATTTTGCAAATTTCCTATCGACATCTTTCATCTTCAAATTCCGTTACACGTAAATCTGTTTTGTTTGTTAATAACCCCATTTATTTCTTGATTCATTCTTCTGCAATGATTAGGAATAACAGTGTAGAGAGAGCACACCGTTTCCTGAGGCCTCGTTTTAACGTGAAAAATTGAGACATATGGCCATTGTTTATTATTGTACTTTGAATATTTGTATACATTGTTGGATCCAAAGTTGAATTTTATAAGCGTTTTGAATCAAAAGTCCCATTCTACTGTGTCAAAAGCCTTTTCGTAGTCTAAGAAGAGAATTGCCGTATTTTTGTCCTTCATTTTACTAAAATGAATGACATCATCAATTAATCTTATACTGTTTCCTATGAATCTTCTTTTGATGTAACCGGACTGATCTTCTTGAATGTTTCCTATAACACTTGATAAACGATTTGCTAAAGCTTTCGCAGCTACTTTATAATCAATGTTTAAAAGACTAATAGGTCACCAGTTTTTTAAATTGGTTCGGTTACCTTTCTTATACAAATCTTATACAAAAGTGAAATTACAGCACGTCGTTGTGACGTAGGGAGTTCTCCTTCTTTATAACTTCTGTTCATTGAACCTATGAAGAGCAATTTAATGTTTCCCAAAAAACCTTCTACGGTTAGGCCAAAAAAAAAAATAAGTCGGTCTCTGGTCAGCGCGCGCGTCGATTTTAATCATGCGCGTCAATTTTTTTTTCCCCAAAATGTTCCGCGGTAGCTCCAACAGCGCCCTCTTTTGCCGCACCTCCTCAGTTTTTGTTACCAAAGAGCACCAAGGAATGGGAAATTGCACCAAGGCAATTTATCGAGAGCAGCAAGGCAAATTATTGAGGACACCAATGTACATGAGGAAACCAAAAAAGCAAATGCATGTAGTACCCCACCTTGTCTGTACAATCGAAGCTTGAAGAAAAAAAGAAGAAGCTGCGTCCCCGCGTCAATTCCGGAACTTTGTTCTGACCAGAGACCGAATATTTATTTTTTTTGGGCCTTAGACCATCTATACCTAGGCTTTTATTATTTTTCAGAGTTTTTAATGCTTTGGCATATTCTGCTTCAGTGAGAATTCCTTCACATTTTTCTTTTTGTTTTTCATCTAGCACAAAATCAAATTCTGTGTCATTTAGGTATCCGTTCATTTGATCAGCATCAACACTATTTGAAGAGTAAAGTTTTTGGTATAAGGTTTTCTGTTCAAGGAGTATTTCAATTTGATCTTTTATTATGCTGCCGTTTTCACTTTTCAGCTGTATAATGTGTTTTCTCAAGGCATTGCGTTTTTCAAGACCTCAAAAGTATCTACTATTCGTTTCAACTTCCTCAGACCATCTTTCTCTGGATCGAACCTTATGTCCTTCAATCTCTTTATCATACATGTTTTCTAATGTGCTTTGAAGTTTGTTTATCTCAAAAGAATTGTCTTCAAAATCGCTATTCAAGTTTGTTATTCTGGCTTTTATCGATTCTTTGACTAATTTTCCTACATTCTTTTTCCTTTTTTAATACCAGATCGTAAAGTCACTGATCTTTATTTTGCAAATTTCCCATCGACATTTTTCATCTTCAAATTCCGTTATCAACTCTTCTGACAACGTATCTAAGTACATTTGCATTCTATTTTGAAAAGTTTTATCACTGAGAAATGACCTATTAAATTTCCAGTATCCTTGTCCTCGTTGAATATTGTTTACAAATGTCACTGAGATCGCTTGATGATCGGTTTTAATGCCTGGTCGTATAATATCACTTAATATGACCGTATCTACCAGTGAAGTGGAAATAAGAAAGTAGTCAATTCTAGTTTTTATTAGTGGATTCTTCCTTCTGAAGGTATACTGATACGTGTTTGGATTTTGGTCTCTCCATATGTCTGTTACTTAGTTTCTTTTTGCAAAGGACGTTAATGAATGTTGTATCTCGCTTACATATTTAATTCCTCCCTCTTTATCACATTTGTGGTTTAAAACACAGTTGAAGTCACCACCTAGAATAAGTTCATTATTGTTAGGAATATAATGAGATATCAATTTTTCTACCTTTTTAAAGAATTGTACCCTTTCTTTACAAGTGTTGGGGGCATATATATTCATAAACGAAATACTTTTGTCTTCATGAATTGTTACATATTGTTACACCCGTAAGGGAGACGGGTGGTTGACAGAATAAATCTGTAAGCAAAGGCAGAAAAGGAACTAGAGCTAATGTGCTTCCCGAAGCACAGATATCAGCCTAAATTGCCGTTTTATCGGTTTGTCTGAATACTAACTCGCACTGAACACAAGGTGATCATCGCTAAATGTGGCCGAGATCGGCAAAAGAATGTAACAGGAACAACTATGAACATTTGACATTAAGACTGCCGAAACATTACATAAAATAGCCGTCAAGACAATACATGAAACAGTAGTTAATGCCAGTATATTAATCCTTAAAAACACTCAAAAATTAATCACAGCAGTAGTGTTACTTATTGGCCTCCGTACTTTTTAATCTACGGCATGAGAATATGGCTGAACACATGTCTTTAAGGTGGCACAGCTTCATGCTATGACAGACCGAAGGAATGCAGTATTCAGACACCACTTCTGCGGTTGTAGGCAAAGTCTGTGGAGAGTGTGGCACTGTATGTCACACAACATCCACAGTATCGTGGTGGTTTGAAACCTTCCCAGAATTCCTATGTTTTTATATTGCTTTATACATGCGTTTGAAAAATGAAAAACTTGAAATAACTCGACAACCAAATAAGTCAGGAATATGAAATTTGAGAATTAGAGATAAAACAAGTCAGGTGTGTTTACAAACACAAATGCCCCGCAACCATGACTGTTTCCATGACATAACACCACTCTAACACCACCCACACACCCACGGAAGGACAAGGCGGAAACAGTATGCCCCTTCGGCTTCGCCGCGGGGCATAAAAATACACTGAACATGGCTGCAAAGATTTAAAATGTAAAACACTGACTTTTCACTGACCGGCGCCTTTGAATGACTATTTTTGTCAGATACTGTGCGCCTTACAAATGCTTTGTTATTATTATTATTATTATTAGTTTTTGAATTTTGTTTCATAAAATGACCCCTACTGACCAATAGGTGACCACTGGCCAAATTCTGTGAACAACTTTTGTGAGGCTTGGTCCAAAGATACAACTGACCAAGTTTTACATCAATTGGGTCAAGACTGGGGGAGAAGAAGCATTTTGTAAATATTCATTAAATGACCTCTAGTGCCCCTTTAACCCTCCGAGCAGCTTACCAAAAAAAATCACACCGTGGAACCACATGGAGAATTTGATCACCACATGTGTTTATAGGTAAATAACCCTGGCATGCCTGTACATGCACAAGATATAGGTCATTCACATTGCCAGGGCACAGTGGTTTAAAACCATATGTGACCCAGACATCAGTATATTCCAGGACTTTAAACAGTCAAATGTCCTATAAAATACATCAAGCATGTTTAAATACCATCTCTGGGTCCAGAAAACTAGGTTGGCTATTATCTAAAAACGTAACTCACCGAAATTGTCAAAAATTGGAGCTAAATTTCAAAAGAGGGCGCTATTTATCAATGGCACCCTCTTTTGACGATTTTTGCATTAATGATTATTACACGACCATATCGCTTCTCATCACCGCGCGTACCGGCACGGAAGCCAAACATTTTGTTGTTGTTAATTTTGGATTTACTATGTTAAATAAAGATTAAACCAGCTTGCAAATGCAAGTTTTCAAGGTGATTACTTGGTTATTATTTTTAATAATATATTCCCTGTGATAAGGCTATTTATTTGCAAAATGTTATCATTAATCTTACTATTATTTTCTGTTGTGTTTTACCGTGGAAATCCGAAAATGGTGCTCTTAAGTAGTGCAGCTGGTATTTGTTCCTTCTCGCTAAGAGAAAACCTGTAATTCTTGAGACTTATTTGTGAAAACAGATAAAATCATATATTGGGCCACTGCTCTTACAAAAATGGCTTTCCTCAATTCATCTAATATCGCGCCCGTTCTTCTGCTGCTGGCGTGGTCCCACTTCATCTAGAGGATTAATTCTCGGGCAATCAAGCTCAGCTTTGGGAACATCAGCTTCATCCCCTTCTGACATAATATAATTGTGAAATCCATAGCCTCCGCAACAGTAATTGATAAAGTGTCAAGCATTTGTTTTTGACAAACGGCTCTTTTTCAAAACTTACAAAATGTTCATAAAAAGAAAATCTGGTTGGTTTTTGAGAGAGTAGCTGCGGTGGTGATCTATTAAATTCGGCTCATATCTAATTTTCCTTTCATTTTCTTAATCGCTTAGAAATGTTCAGTTTATGTAACCTTCTCCTATGTCGGTTGTAGTCTATTATTAGTTCTTATATAATCCGGCCTCTTCTTCCGGCCGACCCTTCTCTTTAGATATTTATTCCACGTCTCATTTAGAGGGTGGCGTATTTGATTGTGCGATCTTCTTTTCCGTTGCCAAATTAATGGAACAGATGGAGTGGAGGAGTCCTTGTCATATGAAGAAAATGGGGGACGTAAGGGCTTGGTTTCAGAAAAGTCATGCAGAAAAATAATCATAAAATTATCAGAAAATATTATGATCTCAGTGTTTACATTTAAGTCATTGTCGATGCTTTACATCACAATGACAGCTCTGGTCAGGAGTTGTGGCTGGACGTTATTATCAACAAATCAGTCCTTGAAAGTATCTGGCTTCCGTGGGGAAAACACGTTTGGTTGGCTGAAATGGTGTTCTGTTGGTTTTCCTGGCCTTGCCAGGCCTAAGACATTTTATTACAATCACGAACACCAGGAACATGATGTTGTCGTTTGGCTGACCGCGCCCGGTGTGGGCCTACACCGAAACGTTGTGCGAAAAATATAATCTTTCATCTCTAATTCTATCTACATTTTCCATGAAAAAGAAAACCATTAACAGCTCAATTTCTTCAATAATGGTTTACTGTAAATCCCACACGAGCCCCGAGATTTGAACCTTCTTACACAGATTTCCGAAGTGCAAGCGACGACACCGAGCCCAACACAGCGATCACGCTAGACAAATCTCAACAATAGAGGGCGCTGTTCACTGCGTCGCCAGCGACAGCGTTTTACGTAAAATCCCAGCTGAGGACTGCTTACAAAGTTGATTTTCTTCGGCACAAAGATGCATTGCGCGACTTTTCCGGTTGATTATATTTGTAGCCAAATAATCAGAGTACCAATTTATGAAGAAAATAGACAATTTTACCCAGGCCGTTTATGGCCGATTGTAGAAATGTATCAGCGAACATAATCTGAGTGTCTTTTGCTTTTTTTGGTACTTCTACCTAATTTACCGTAAGTTTTCCTCGCAAATTTCTGCACTTTCTGAAACACTTTTCATAACAAATGTTATATTAGCTGAAAGGGTACTAAACAA